GTCTACTGGGAAACAAGAACGCAAAATTAAACATTCAAACCGATTAGAACCCGCGCGGGTGCGCTTTCTTTGGGGCGACGACTCAAATCCTAAGAGAAACTTGGCTCTGTCTGTGCGGAATGATTCCAGTGCGAGTGGGTCCAAGTCGGAATGATTTCCCTGGCCATTTTTAGTGGGACGGAGCGATTATCACACCGTTTTAAAGATATGTTATGATATCGCGAAGGCCTTACGGCCGGTGCCGCCGACCCTGAATGGCGACGACGACGGCGACGACGACGACGACGACGACGAGCGCTCTTGGGGGCCTCTTGGGGGTAGTTTGTGGGCCTCTTGGGAAGGTCTTAGGGGCCGCTTGGAAGCCTCGTGGGGGCCTCTTGGGGCTTCGTGGGGGTCTCTTGGAGGGGGCCCGGGACGTCTTGGAGGCTTCTTGGACGGTCTTGGAGCTATCTTGGGCGTTTTCGGCCGATCTTTGGGCGACTCGGGGCCCTCTTGGGTCGTCTCGGGGGCCATCTTGGGCATTCGGACTTCATTTGGAGTGTTTTCGAGGTTTCTAGGCCGCCCGAGGAAAAACGAATCTGTCCCCCCCCACCCCGGGACACCCCCCCCTCTGGGGAAGGGATCAAAGGGAAGGGGTTTCCCTTCGACTCGATTACGACACTGCTAGATTTTTCTCTCGCTCACGAGCTTGATAAGGATTCTGCAGGGAAAGGGGGCGACGGAGGCGACGACCGACGGAGACGACGATTCGCACTGCCAATCCCCCCGCGCACGCCGACAGGGTCGGCGGATTTTTACGGGGTGCGAGCCCATCGGCTTCGGACCGCTGCCCGACCGAAAACTTGTCGCTAAGATTCTACGGGGGGATGGGGGGGGGTCGGAAGGCTGACGTCTTATGGTCAAAACTATAGTACCCCACGTGTATGGTGTATAATATAGGTTGTGCAACCTATGTGGTGTAATCCATGTTTTGCAATATGTGTGGAGTAATATATGTGCCCCAATTTATGTTGTGATGTCTATGTGGTGTAACTCACGTTGTGCAATATATGTGGTGCAACCTATGTTGCACATTCTATGCTGTGCAATCCATGTGTTTCACTATATGAGGTGCACTCTTTGTGGTGCAACACATGTGGTGCAATCCAGCTGGAGTAATCTGTCGTGCAATATATGTGGTGCCGTGTGTTGTGCAAACTACGATGAACACTCGAAGCTTGCGTCGTATCGTGTAATCTATGTTGTGCAAGCTGCGTCGTGCAATATAAGTGGTGCAATCTTTGTGGTGCAGTCTATGTGATGCAATTTATGTTGTGCAATTGATGTGGATCAACTTCTGCGTCGGCAGCGAGGCGGTGACGGGGCGGCGACGGCGGCAGCATAGCTGCCAGATCGGCAGACAGGCCCAGGCGACGGGCGGCGACGAGGCGGCGACGCGGCGGCGCGCGACGCCAGACCAGCAGACAGGCCAAGCCCTGTTTGGAGAATGGACCCGCATCGAACCATTTCCATGGAGGCTCAACGTTCGCTGCGGGAAGAAGGAGTTTCTTGCAATACGTTCGCTGAGCTCAGCGACTCGGCATTCGACTCGTAATGGGACGTTACAGCAACATAGCCGCGGACCTAATCACGCAATGTTGCGCGCACAGTTTCCACATTACCATACGTGTCCCAAGTCCTGACCAGTCTTCGTCTCCCTTGTACCCTCCCGTCAGTAGCCTCATTCCTCTTGTCAGCATGCCCTTTGATTAACCACCAGATGGCAGTTGAACCATTATCTGTCCATGCGCTCCCTTTGGTATCAGAATTCCTCCTGCTCCTCTTCCTCCTCCTCCTCCTTCCCTCCTCTCTCGACTGCCGGTGTGCGGGGCCGTGGGCGCTGCCTCGGCCGCGGCGCGGCGGACCAACGGGGCGGGCCTCACGGAGCGAGATCCTTCCCCGACCGGGGGACGAAACAAACAAAAAAAGATTGTGCTCGTATCTTCATCCTTGTCCTCATCGCCATCACTCTCACCAGGAACTTTCCTACTACTCTTTTCATCACCTCGTCCCTACTCTCATCCATTCGCCCTTGCCCAATGTTCATCTCATGCTCACGCCACGCCCATCGTTGCCACAGTCGCCGTCCTCCACATTCTTTGGAAACACACGTGAAGTGGCTATCCCGCTCTTCGCTGGCGGGATCCGATGGTCACTCGCACACCCTCGCAACTCACATCTAGAAAATCACCCTTAAGGATGCCCACCGAGCTGGGTGAGTGGTTGAATCGTAGCGGCCGTCGGCACAACGTGCCAAAAGCAAGAAACATGCAGCAGGCCTTCAGAGGTTAACAATTAGGGGGTGAATTCCGTCGACTACAAGCATCTCCTGCAAACCACACGTTAAGGGGACCTCCTAGGGCCCCTGATGGTTCCCTCTGGGGGGTTGTCATCCGAGTGGATACTCGCAGACTTACTACGAGCACATAAACAAGAAAACCTTCTGCTCTCCTTGGCAATCTCATCTATTCTGGAAAGCCCAGACATTTCCCTGCCTGAGGTTGGAATCCGAGTTGTTGACCGTGTACCTTGTAAAACACAGACGGAATCGGTTGTTCACCCAAAAGGGTTCATATCCGAGCTGCCATTCGTACTGCCATGTCGTTCACCCCAAAGATGCTACCCAGACCCCCTCTTCTAAAATCATGTTGTGGTCTCCTAGTTCTCGACCTCCCGTTTCTCCGCACCCTGCACTCCCTACTCCTGCTACTCCTACTGCGTCATAGCCTATTCGCGACGTCATTCATCAGCGCGGCTGGGGGCCTCTCCCTCGCGGCACTCTCTTAATGTACAGTTGCCCCCCCGCGTCTTCTTCCTGCTCCTGTGCCTCCTGTTCCCTCCTGCTCCTACTCGTCGTGTTACTGCTTGCTACTCCTACCCCTCATCCACCTCCGACTCCTAGGCCTTGGCGGGGACGGTATCTCTTTGAAAGCGCCTCTCCGCTCCCGAACTTGCCTGGCAAGGACAAGCGAGGGTCAGCCAGGTCCAGGGGGCGGAGGGGGGATTGGAGCAAGACGCCCAGGCTGCCCTCGGCCCACATCTCGGCGGTGGCGATCTCCTCGTCCTCCCGATCCTCCTCCCCCCTCGTCCTTCTCCTCCTCCTCGTCCGCTCGGGCCCTCCTCGTCGTCTTCCTTTTTCTCTCCTCCTTCACATCCGTCTTCTCTTCTCTCCTCCTCCCGCGGGAGATCTCGTCGATGGCGCCCCAGTGGTCGGAGGGGGCAGCGGCGATGGCACCCCGCCCCCGGGGGGGGGGGGGGGGGGGGGGCAAAAGACAGAGGGGAAAGAGCGCGCCTGTGGCGCACTTCTCATTACAAAGGGGGCCCCAGTTTGAAGCTACCCCCCCCTCCCTTGTGAAAAGGGATTGGGTGCTTCCGAGGCCATTCCTGGGCCAGGGGGGCCCTGGCTGAAGAGGTGGGGGCTTGGAAGCTACCCCCCACCCTTCTTTTTCGGGGCCGAAGGTCAGCCCAGGCTTCCCTCTCAAGGGGGGGGGGCTTCGGAAGCTACCCCCCTCATTCTCAAGGGTTGTAACGTGTCGGACCGTGGGCGACACTCGTCCGATACTGTTTCGACGCTGTTTCGACACTCTTTCGACACTTTTCCGGGTGCTCGAAATTATTTCTGGGATGTGGTCCGTAAGTACGATGGGAGCAACACAACCCTGGTCCTGGCCCCAGGCTTTCCCACCCCCCTCCTCTGGGCCGCCCTAAGACGGATCCAAGAGCGCCCAACTCCGACAGGGGTCCAGCAGGCGAAGTTGGGAGCTCTGGAGGGGGCGCGCTAATTGGTATCCCTCCTCTTCAATCGAACTCTTCAAACATGGACCCAAGACGGTCCAAGTTTGCTGAAGGTGGCCTCCAGCATGCCTTCAAGAGGCCCTGAGATGGCGCCAAGACGTCCCCAAGTGGCCTCTGGACCTTCAAGACCGCCCCCGAGAGACACGACATCCTCAGTTTGATACGTTCCACTGCATGCTCTCCCACTTTCCTGTTCAAGGCAACTCGCCAGGACACCATTGCTGGAGGGCTAGTGGGGATGTGCGACAAATTAAGATTATATCGTAATATGAGGTATCAGGATTGGCAATATTGATAATCGCATTGTTTTGCGAGCAAGATTTTGGTGCATCTCCTACCCTTCTCGTTTTCAATGGCGCTGTGACTCGGCAGCGTATAGCGGCAAACCTTCACCAAATACTTGACAATTCCAGCATGTGAGGAGGAAGAGAAGGTTGAGGCGAAGGAGTGGGGAGGAGGACGAGGGCGACGAATGATGAGCTGAAGGGATGTTGATGATGATTGAAATGATTGTGGTTGTGGTTGTGGTGGTTGTGGTGGTTGTGGTGGTTGTGGTGATAGTGGTGGTTCGGATGGGGATGAGGATGAAGATGCGATGACGATGACGATGAGGACCATGATTCTGATGAGTATGATGGTCATGATGATGCTGCTGCTGATGCTGCTGCTGCTGCTGATGATGATGATGATGGTGGTAATGATGCTGACGATGATCATGGCGATGACGTTGACGACGATGGCGACGACGACGACGAGTCCGATGACAAGGATGCTGCTGCTGCTGCTGACGATGATGATGATGATGATGATGATGATGATGATGATGATGATGATGATGATGATGATGATGATGATGATCATGGTGGTGGTGATGATGATGATTCTGATAATGGTGTCGTTGATGACGAGGAGTATGAGGATAAGGATCGGGACGATTATGATACGAGAATGATGGTGGTGGTGATGATGAGAAGGAAGAGGAGGATGATGGCGATTACGACGATGACGACAACGAAGAGAAAGGAGGTGGCGGAGGGAGGAATAGAGAATATGGAGGAGTGGGAGGAGGTGGAGGAAAGGAGGGAGGAGGAGTTGGAAGGAGGCAGGAAGGGAGGACCAGGAGAGAGGAGGCAGTAGCGCGCAGCCCCGCACCCGGTGTCGCGCAGGCTGCGCACAGAGGAGAACGAGTGAGGCACCGCGTCCCTGCCAGGGCGGCGCCAGCGGGTCCAAGGACAGCGAACAGAAAAGAAGCTGCTCTCGAGATTCCTGAAGGTTTTCCGAGCCCTCTGGAGGCTTTCGAAGGTCTTCGGAGGCTTTCTACCTTCTCCCTCCTCCTGCTCCTCCATTCTGATGGGGCTCAAGGTTCGTCCTCCTGCTCTTCTCCTTCCGGAGGCTCATCAATCTCGCAATCGAGCAGCACGCCTGCCCTGCACTATGATGCGGCACGTCGCCTCCTCCTCCTGTCGCTTCCTCTGGGGGATCTGGGGTGCTAGACCCCTCAGCTTATGCATGCCAGGACAGGCCCGTGCGGGCTCTCTGCCCTCCCCATCGTGCAGCCCTAGCCTGGGGGTTTGCGCATGTGGGTCCCAGTCTTGAGCCCCGCTGCGAATCCGTGCCAATTCTCCTCCTGCCCCCCTGTGATGAGAAGCAGGTTCACACTATGACACGAGAGTGGTGTAGACGTGAATGGACATGATGCTCCTTTTGTCACGTCTGTGCCGCAGCGGCGCAGCCCTCGCAATCACGCACCCCAACGTTGTGCGCCGGTCTGTGCCTGATCTTGCTTCTCGTCTGTAGCTCAGCCTGGCTTCGGCACCGGCCTGAAGCTTGTGATTGCGAGTTCGGCTCCTGCCCCCCCCCCCTCGACGGAGGAGGACGAGGAGGAGGGGGAGGGGGAGGGGGAGGGGGAGGAGGAGGAGGAGGAGGAGGAGGAGGAGGAGGAGGAGCAGGAGGAGGAGGGAGAGAGAGGAGGAAGAGGAGGAGGAGGAGGAGGAGGAGGAGGAGGAGGAGGAGGAGGAGGGAGGAGGAGAGGAAGAGGAGGAGGAGGAGGAGGAGGAGGAGGAGAGGAGGAGGAGGAGGAGGAGGGGGAGGGGAGGGGGAGGGGGAGGGGGACAAGCTAGGTGCGCTCGCGCCATATCTGACATCCTACCCCTCCCTCCCATCCCTTACCATGGCGTAGATCCCCTCTCTACTCGCACAGTCGGATGTCGAGCAGGGCAAACATCCCGAAAGGGTACGCGATGCATTGTAGAGCACGGCATGGCATGGCGTAGAAGAGCACTGCAAAGCGTAGTATGTCACAGCATGGCCTGGCGTGGCGCAGTGAATAATTGCATCACAAAGCTTTGCAACGCAAAGCATGGTATCGCACAGCGGCCCCGAACATAACAACATTGCATAGCATGGCGTTGAAGATCAAAGCGTAGCATGGCATAGCATGACGTGGCACTTAAGCACTGGATATGACAGCTGCAGCTGAAGGCATGGCATCGCGCAGCGGAACGCAACCTAGCATTGCATTGCATGCCGTGGCATGGCACGGGAAATGAGGCCAGCGCTGCAGCGGGAGCACGATTCGGAACGAGCGGAAGCGCGGAAATGAGGCCAGCGCTGCAGCGGGAGCACGATTCGGAACGAGCGGGGCCCGGAAATGAGGCCGGCGCCTCAGCGAGAGCAGCATTTTGGACAACAAGTGAATGGCGAAAACCCAAAAATGGGGAATCCTGTGTGTAAAAAACAATACGCGGGGGTGGGGCTAATACTTTCAAACCGTCATCAGGGGAAGAGGGAGAGTAGTATTCAAATTGAGTAATTGTGGAGGAGGGGGAGGGGGGGGGGAGGGGGAGGGGGAAGGGGGAGGGGGAGGAAGAGGATGAGGATGAGGAGGGAGGAGGAGGAGGAGGAGGAGGAGGAGGAGGAGGAGGAGGAGGAGGAGGAGCAGGAAGAGGAGAGGAGGAGGAGGAGGGGGGGGGGGGGGGAGGAGGAGGAGGAGGAGGAGGAGGAGGAGGAGGAGGAGGAGGAGGAGGAGGAGGAGGAGGAGGAGGAGGAGGAGGAGGAGGAGGACTGGTCGCCCCCCCGCCGCCCCCGCTCCGCCCTCCTCGGCGGGGCCGCCCGCGGAGGGCCGCCCGCGCCCGCGCCGACCGCCACCGGCGCCGTCGAGGCCCCCCGCGGCCAGGGGCCAGCCGGCCTGGCCTCGAGGCGTCCGGGGCAGATCCTGCCACGCGGCAGCAGGAGCTCCTCCTCCTCCTCCTCCTCCTCCTCCTCCTCCTCCTCCTCCTCCTCCTCCCCCGAACCAAGGAAAAGGGGGGCGGGGGCGGCGGTCGGTCGCCCTGCAAGGGGGTCGGCGCCGCGGCGCCTGGCCGCCGGCCGCACTCTCGGGCCGCTTCCAGCGACGAGACGCGCGAGGGCAGGCTGGCGTGGCTGGCGCAGTCGTCGACCGGCTTGGCCACGCGGCAGTGTTTCTGCACGCCCGAAATGGGTATTGAAAGAATGGGCACTATGCCCAACAGCGGATCCTGTTCATTCTGAACAGGGCTCGCTGTCCACGCCGCCGCGGCCTGTGTCCATTCGAGACAGGAGGCCGCCCGCCCAACAGCGGCCGCTGTTGGTTTGGGACAGCATTGGCTGTTGGGCATGGTGCCCATTCTTTCCGTACCCATTTTGGGCGTCCAAAAGATCTTGCCACGCGGCAGCGTCGCCCTCGCCAGCGCGCTGCCCTCCCTCGGAAACAGGAGCATATGCATCACCGGTGGCGGGCGGTCTCTCCATCCCACGGCTTTTTTTGGGAGGGCCGGGGACGACGTCGGGGTCGTGTGGTGCATGCGGGTTTCCGCGTTTCCCAGGGGGAAGCAGCGACGAATGTGTGCACCACAGGATCCCGTATGCACCAGGATCCGCTCGTCCTGTGCGAGTTTCGGTGCGGAGCCGGAGAAAGCTTCGGCGTATAGAGTTCGGCTCCCTACTTTCCCCCTCTCCCGCTCTGCGGCGCGAGGCGGGAGCGGCGCGCGCGCTCGCCGCCCCACGGCGCGCGCGCGCGTGCGCCGCGTGCCCGAGGAGCGCGCCTCGAACGTGCGCCCGTGGACGCCCGACAGCCCGCCTCGCCGTCGGGCAGCGGCGGCGGCGGCGCCGGGCGGGGCGTTGGGGGCCGAAGGTCGAGCTGCGCCAGCTGGTGTTGTCAGGAGGGGAAACACACACAGACACAATTAATCGTCGAGTCCCAGGAAAATATGGGAAAGTATGGGAAGTGGGGGGGAAGACAGAAACCCAGAAAATATGGGAAAATATGGGGCATATTTTTATTAGTGTGTATTTATTTGTGTGTCCTGGGGCTCCTTTATGTTGGAACGTGTGGATCGTGCAAGGTTGGAGGATCCACGAAGTGGTCAGAAACGAATGCCCATGTCATCGCGACGTGAGATCGCCGTACCCGCCACCTCGCTGGTGGACGGTGGCATGCGCTGCCGCCCCTGTCTACCATCAGCCACGGGAGCTTGACGCCCTTGCCGCTGCTCGCACATTCGGGACAGAGCCTGACTCTCGTAGGCGTACGCTTCTTGGGGAAACGAGTGTGTGGCTTACCGCACCCCACCTTGATAGTCAATATTGCAACGCTGTGCTGTCGAAGCGCTGACCAGCTAGGGACTTGGAGCCGAACGTTGACGACTGTTAATTCGCCTCTGTGCGGGAGTGGTCTTGATCATGGCCTCGCAACAAGCTCCATGGACTAAGAATCAAACGCAAATGCCCGATGCAAACCGCCGCAGCATCATGACGTGGCGGATGCGTGCGAGGGCGCGGATTTTTCCCAGAACTTTACGCCATTTCGCCTGTCCCCAAAGCAACGGATTCGCGAGAATATATTGGGACGCTTCAGATGAGAGCACGGTGGTTGGCAGGACGCGGGGGAGGAAAGTTAGAATGAAGAGGATAAGCACAGAGATGAGGACCAGGGGATGGGAGTCGCGGTGCGGAGGCGGGGGGCCAGTGGGGCGCCTGGAGTTTCGGAGCGAGCTCGGGGTCACGTGGGGGTCGCCACGGCACGTTTTGGAGGTCTGTTGGAAGTCATCTCGAAGCAAAAGGCACGCCGCAGCAACCACTGACAACCATCCAGATGAGGAAGTGGACCGCACGGCCTGCCCGCACCAGACGATCCCAGGCCCAATCGCGCCGAACAAGCCGAAGTCGACGCAGAACGACGCGAGGAGGCTCTGGGAGAGCCCGCCGCGCGCTCGCAGCCTTGCGGCTCTCCCCCCAGGCTCCCCTCCGGGTGCGCGCGACCTCCCATGGCGTACAACTTCGCCACAGCCGGCTACCACAGCTTCATCCAGGCCGCACCCTTCCTCACTACCTCCGGTGAGCTCTCTCCCTCCTCCTTCAGGAGGAGAAAAAACACACAGACACAATGAATCGTCAATTCCCCAGAAAATATAGGAAAATATGGGAAGTGGGGGGGAAGACAGAATCCCAGAAAATATGCGAAAGTATGGGGGATATTTTTATGTGTGTGCATTTATTTGTGTGTCCTGGGGCCCCTTCACTCCTGTCGGCTGTGCTCTCCGACGCGGATCAAGCAGTGGCACGCAGCTGCAGGAGGCCCGGCAGATGGCAGGCGTCCCGGCGCCTGCACCGCTGCTTTTTTTTGCGGCGGCTCGGCTGGACTCTGCTCGGCCTCACTGATCTCACATGCGATCTTGACCACGGTGGCCAGGTGTCCGCGTCAACTCCGTGACCGCGCCAGCGCGGCAGTGCGGCAGTGCAGCAGTGCAGCAGTGCAGCAGGTTGTGCTGAGGACCCGTTCCGAGCCAGTGCCCTGTCTGAGCTTGCGCGGGCCCGAACCACACCCTCCTTGTCCGGAGCCTCATTCTCCCCTTCTTCCTTCTTCTTGGAGGCTTCTTGGGTGGCTTCTTCAGGGCCTTGGGGGGCCTTTTTGGGCCCTTTGGAGGCCCGTGAGGCCCCCCCCCCATCAGATGCCTCCCAGCGAGCCCCCTGGACTTCTGGAGCCCCAGTAGACTCTAGTACCCAGATGCACGTCTCTTGGAATGTCTTGGAGACATCCTGAAGACATCTTGGAGCCTCTGCCCAAACATGTTGCCACAACCGCTCATGCCGACCTTCTGCAAGAACGACCGGTCGCCATGGCGGATCCGCTCGGTGTGACCGCGGGCCG